GTCAACAACTAACTAACTTTAATTATATATTTTATTATGATACTCACAATTTTTTCACCACACGATTCATCAATATCTATCAAAATCAACTAAAAATATAATTTTAATATCCCTGTTTGTTGGCGATTAAGTGTTGTTTGGTGAAGATTAAAATTATATATATATTTTTTGTGAATTTTGATAAAAATTAATAAAATATGTGGTTCAAAAATTGTGAGTCTTATCTCATTTAATATATGACTAAAATTAATTATTGACTAAAATTAAAATATTCCTACCAAACAAGGACTAGAGCATTTAATTTTGTTTTCGCAAATAAAATTTAGGAATAATCGAAATTGTGGTATCAAATCTTTCGTTGAATTGTAACTTTCATTCTAACTTTTTATTTGGGGTACTCACAACGTTAAATCTTCAATTCATTACAGCTGAAGGACAATGGGACTGTCTATCAGCTAACTCAATAAATTGAATTCGGCCATATTTTGATCAATTTTAAAATGGTAAATTGTATTTACAGTTTTTCTATACAATTCATCCATCTTGCCCAAGCTCTTGCCCCCACCCCCTCTATCGAAATATTATGTATAGAAATATATTTTTCTTTTTGCAATTCACTTCATTCATTTACAAACCCCAAAAATAAAAAAAATAAAAAAAGAAAAAAGAAAAATTCAAATAAATCTAGATAGTACTAAAATTTTAGAAATAATTTTCGTCGGTCATTCAATCCGAAGAAAGGATTTTGAGAACTTGTTTAACTCTGTCTTGTCATCAGCAACTCAAGGGATTTATTTGTTCTTATGATGATACTATGCCTTCAAATTTATCAATCCCTTCCAAAAAAAGTGGAGTGATTTTGAGAATTAATTTTTTGATCGTTAGGAGAAAAGTGAGGTCCACCTGTGAGAGAAGAAGTCAAATATGACGATTGGAATAGTGAAATAACAGTCAAAAAATCAATTTTTTTGGTGAAAAAATCGGGTTCAAACAGGCCATTGATGTGATGCCTATGAAAATTTCCAGGACATTGAGGTGAACAATTGAAAAAGTCCAGGTGCATCGAGGTGGTGGAGGTTTCGAACACACTTTAATGGAAAAATCTAAGAGTTGGTAACATTTTTAAGGTGGAGAAGGATGAATTTTTTTTCTCACAGTTAGAAAGATGTCTACTATGTTGATATGATGAATCTTAAGTTGGTAAAAATCTAAGAGTTAGTAAAAATGTATAACAGTATTGACTCTTTATTTTTCAAAAAGTATTTTGATTATAATTCATATATTTATGTTACACCCTTCAATGATTGATGGTTGAAAATAATTCTAAAATGATGTTAGGTGACGGAGAAGAAGAAAAAAATAAGAACGATATTTATGATATGTTAGCTCTTATTTTTTAATAATATTATTTAATGTTAGAGGTGTTCATTACCATATTAATTAATTATAGAAGCCTACATTAAATTAATTTTCTATTTGTCTCCCTTTAATGTAAAATTTTTAATTTTCATGTTCAATTTTAATTGCACATTGACATAATAAGCCGAGGTTTGATGAACTTTATCTTTTAAACTCTTTTTTCTATATATTCAGTTTCAATAACACGTTCATATAATAAAATATTCTGCACGTAAACTCGAAACTTTTTTTACTTTTTAACTATATATTCTCAATAAAATTATTATTCAAATATTATTTTTCCCAAATAATAAACATCAAAAAGGTATTAAAATATTTTGCAGGTAAAGTTAAATTTTTTTTTAATTTTTTAATCATATATTCGCTGAAAAAAATTACTATTCAAAGCATATTTTTTCTTCAACGATGACCATAGAACGGGGCTAATATGCATTCTAACTTTATTTACACGAGAATAGATTAGTGTTAACCACCTGAAATTCTTTGCATTTTTGTTTCGTTTTGTTTGACTAATCAATAATTGACAGATGGAACATCACATCAATCATGAATTCCAAAGCCAAAGTATAAACCAAACACCATTATTTCACATCATTCGCCCCCTTTGCGTGTGCCTCTTGCTCATGTCACTACACTTTATATAATTAATTTTTAATGGTTTGTTATTAACAGCAATATTATTATTGAACTCATCTTGTGAACAGAACCTTACACCCAACTCAACCAGTGAGTTTTCGATTTTGATCTCAACTTAATGTCAAATCTAGCTAATATTACATGCTGGGGAACCTAGGGATGTTAAACGTGTCAAGCAGCTCATTGACTCGGCCGCTCGACTCGTGAACGGCTCGAACTTGTCAAATTACGAGTTGAGCAGGGTTCGAATCCAACGACGCTCGGCTCTTCGAGCTCGCCAGTGGCTCGTGAGCATGCCAAAAGTTCACTAGCCCATCATAAAAAATATGAAGAAAAATTTGAAATTTGAAATAGAAAAAAAAATCGAGCTCGTGGGCTCGGCTCGGCTCGTCTCGATTCAACCCGGCCCCACCAGCTCATGAGTTGTGGGCCAAGCCGAGTTCGGCTCGTAACGAGCATGAGCTGAGCTTGTGTTTAAGGGCTAAGCTGTGCCATCTCTAGGGGAACGTGACAATATGACGACAACAATATTCGTGTTTGAAATCGGTCACATATTGGAGAGGTCAGTAAATTCTCTTGAATTTTTCATTAGAGAGCATTTTAAATTTGAACTCGTTATTTGGAGACAACAGAAACCTATATTACGTTATTTGTATCACAAAGAAATTATTTTAAGAAAAACTAACTCATAGTGAGAAAATAATTAGAAGTGCAAAGTGATCATTTTAGCTTAGATATAATTATTAGAAGTTCGACGAGAATAATACATATGGATGACACGTCAAAATGTTTTAATTATAGGGAATTAAAATAGGATAAATATATATGTACTAAGGGGAGTTTACCGAATGGTGTCCCTCGTCTCTCAACGTACCGCGGCCCTGCGTAAATTTAAAAATGATGGCCCATGGTCCCCATTCCTGTTATGAGTAGTATGTAAAATATTCGGTAAAAAAAAAAATCAGTACATATAGCATTGTCCATTGAAATAATATTATTTTTCTAGTTTTATATATTTTGCGAGATAAATTTATAGAGTTTAGTGGGGCAAACGAAAACTAAAATTGTTACGTAAAGTCTCGGATCGGTATTGGAGCCTAAAATATATAGTTCCCTTTAGTAGCTCCTTAATTGCACAACTGATAGAGCTCTCCCATGATAATTACTTTGTTGCGTCTTGACACATTGATAATTTTCCAACCATATCATTTTGATTTAAGATGTGAAAGCCCTATTATTATTATTATTATTATTTTTTTTTTTTTTTTGATATTCAGGTATCCACCTTACAGTGATTAAATCCTGGAGTCTACATCTTGGCCCCTCAAGTTGCAGACAGGTTAAACAGCAAGTTGTGCCCCAAACTGATCAGTGCTCAAGAGCTCCCAACTGATCTGTCAAAGTGCCAAACAAGTAGTTTATCATATTTGCACCTTGCCTTCCAATAGAGCTCCTGCCTTCCAGGATAAATCCTGCCTTGCCTTCCAGGAATCGAACTCACGATCTCTGATCTGTCAACCTTGAAACGCCCTCATCTTGGCCCGTTGGGATGTGTCCTGGGAGACAAATGTGAAAGCGCTATTGATCTCTATAAGAATGGTGCATCCTTTAGTGGGTGTAATTTATTAGTATGATAATGATTTTTCTGTCAACTCTACAATTCAGTTGCTATGGAGTTGACTTTCAGGAAATACATCAAACCAAACCCCGAGAGATTAATTAGAAAGTAATAAACAATATTAGAAATTTAAAAAAAATTAAAATTGTATTTAATTGAAAATAAGTCCGAAGTCGTGAAGCTCTGTCAAGAAATAATCATTTCCCAAGCATATGATCCATTGGACAGGCTACCTTCCTCCAAAAGGATCTTTGTTGAGTCTCCCTCAAGTAAAATCCATGGCGTTCCAGTTCCACTTGAAAGTATACTAATTGCCCCTTCTTGCTTGAAAAGAAATCTCTTTTGACAAGAAAATTTAAAATTGCTTTTACCAACTTGAGAAGCACTTCAAATTTTCTAAAATTTATTTTTTCCTCAAATTCGTTATCAACCACACATTTCACCAATTTTTATCAAAATTTATTAAAAAATAAAATAAAATAAATCTGATTTTTAGCTAAACTAAAAAGAAGATAGTTAGGAGTTAATTGTTCCAATGGTGATTGAACTTATGTTCTTGTCTTGGTCACTGAAATTTAAAATATCAAGTTTTGATCACTGAACTTAGATTCGTATCTTCGATTGCTCACTGAAGTTTTAAACGTCGAATTTTGACCACTGAACTTTAAAAAATATGAGGGTGTTTGAGCTATATTATTTTGATACTAATGCATTCTTTAATAATGTATTGATGAGAAATGTGTAATTAAAAAATAAGAAAAAAATTTTGATCTACGTGTAATATTATTTTATTAAATAATGTATGATTGAAATGATGTCAAAACACTGTTTAAGAATGTATTTTTTTGGAATAATGTGACTTAAACAAACCCTATTGTATATTTCTCATTGGACTTTGAAATATATTACACATTACTCACTATAAACTCGATATTTTTCAAAATTCAACAATCATACCAGTGAATAACGTTCGGCATATTCTAAAGTTCAATGGTCAAAATTCAACATTTTAAATTTTAGTATGCAATTTAAGACATGAACCTAAGTTCAGTGAGCAATCGAAGACATTAACATAAATTCAATGACCAATCAAACGCATAAACCTAAATTCAGTGACCATTGAAACAATTAACTCGATAGTTAACTACCCATGATTAATCAGGTAACCTGAAGCATTTTAAGTACCAAGGTTAAATATAAATTTAAATACGAGAGTAATATGCGATGGTCGAGTTCGACAGAAAGAATAAGATAGACACTCAAATGCCTGGCAAAAGCTAAAACCTCTTGACATGCCAAACTTTCAAGTATAGGGAAGATGATGACCTGAAAAATGAATTACCAACTAGGCATAAACTTTCATTACCCTGGTTTGATGGAGTGGATCAAATGCCAAGAACACGAAATTGAAAGAGAAAAATCTTTCTTCGATTCTTGCTTATGGAGAATCAAGCATGGAGCATAGAGGTTAGGGAAATCATCTACCACAGAATCCAACTTCTCCTACAATTACTGAATAGCTAATCTACAATCTATAGCATCTGGCGTTTGGTTTAAATAAAAGAAGGAACAAGATAACTCAAATGATCTCCACCTCGTGTGTTTATGAAGATCAAAAGATCCTCCTTTCTGTTACCCGAGTCTCTCTCTCTCTCATGTAAAATTTTATTCACTTCCGCCCCTCCTGTGATCCTGCAGTTGTATTTTTCAGTATCTGCAACCAGAAATAACAAGCCCTGGTATGAGAATTATTGAAGAACGAACACATGCCGGGTCGATGAGCATGGCCAAACTTACAAATCGAATTGAAATGTTAGCTACCTGTCTAAGCATTTGATTCTCATTTTGCATAGTCGAAAGCCTCTCTTCGAGCTCTGCATTCTTAGTTTCCAACTCTTTGACTCTTGCCTCCAAATCAATCAAGTATGCCTTCTTCCTCTCCCTAGCTTGTTGTGCTGACACTCTGTTCCTCAACAACCTTTCCCACCCCAACACAAGAAAAATAATCACAGTAAATACACTAACTGAATCTTTGGTACGCGCTCAACCATATGATAAACAAGATTTCGAGGTTTCTTGCGCAGACAAACTAACTATCCTAAATCATTATCAGTCCATTTCCAAGATACTCGTTGATGCAACTTAAAGCGGGCCAAATTATTTGCTAATTACAACGTGGCAAGATATGATTGGATAAGGTTAGGCCTAACTCGACCTACCGTTTTAACCTCTTGTTTTCTTTGTCAGCTGGGCTTCTACCTCTCCTCCTTTGCCCGCCACTTGATGGCTGAACCGGACCGGTGGCGGAAACTACCGGCCCAGCCGCCTCTCCGCCCATCTCCGGTACTCTTCTTATTTCATCATCACTCTCCATACCTAAACGAATTTAAAAAAATACAATTCAGTGATCGATAAGAATACAGAAAGATCTCTGATCTCTCTACACTAAATCAACTGTGACGCAAACCAGACAGGAAATTCTTCGAATTCCACCAAAAGCCGACAATATAAACATAATGAATTCATCAATTATTCAATTAGTTATCCTGTTAATACAAGAGCTAGTGAGCTACCATCTTTTTCCAGAAATTACAGTGCATGATTTGAAGTTAGCTGAAGAATTAAAGCACATTAAACAAAAAACAAAACAAACTTTTTATCCCTGTTCAAAGGCAAAGACAACAAAAAGAGAAAAATAACAGTAAAGGAACCTTCTTTTACTTCAACGTGAAGGGCGGAGCTTGAAGATCTCTCACTACTTGAAGGCAATGAACTGGCTGCAATTGAACTAGTACCTTGGTCCTGCATTTCCTTCAAATCTAAAAAATAGAACGTAGAGAGAGAGCCCAAAATACTTTAGGAGAGAGAAAGAGAGCTTTGGGATGGGATATTTAGCTGTCAGAAGGAGAAAAAAAGAGCGGGATGTGAATAATACAGTGAGCCTGAGATACAGGGCCAGAGAGACGGGAGAGGAGGAGAAATTATGACGCTGCAGATGACCGTTTGATTGTGATTTATCGGACGGCTAAGGAGTGAGAAGCGTGGAAGTGTTATAAGCCATAACGTGTTGGTTTAATCAAAGGCAGTGCGATGGGAGTCGTGGTGTAATATGAGACGCAGGATTAAATGTTATCTGATGATCGGGAGTTCGGTGTGTAAATGGGGAGTGGGGACCATTGGACTTAGGCTGCTCATTAAAGTGCTAAAGTTTTCAACTTTCAAGATTCAAGGACTACGTGAGCTTGTTTGACAAAGTTTGCAAAAATTTAGCCCATATTAAATTAGATTTTAAGTAAACTTTGACAAAAATATATGAATATGTGATTAAAAATTTATAGATTCAATGAAATATGTGGTTAAAATTATTTTTTGATTTTAATTTAGATTTTAATTTAAATTTTTAGTAGAATCAAATAGGGGCTTAGTAAATTTTGATAAAAATTGATAATACGTGTAATTGAATAATTGATAAAAAAAATTGTGAATTTTATTAAATAAGTGATTAAAATTAGTTATTGACTATTATCTCAAATTTTTATCAAATTTTTATGCTTTTTTAAACAAACAATGCATTGAAATTAGGAAAATAGTATATTTCTTCTAGATTTCATTTTACATACTCTAATGCGAAATCCTAATAAAGAAAAAAAATTTGATGAAGAGCATGAAGAAAAAGACATTTTATTCTACTAGTCAATCTATCCATCTTATCATTGTTTGAGCCTCATTTTCTTCTTTCAAAAAAATGTGATTATATCACTGTTGAATAATGTGCTTTTATTAAAAAAAAAAAAAATTGGGGCTCAAATAATGAATATATAATGTTAACTACTATTGATTGTTTTAACAATTGTCATCGTCGTCCACTTGGCTACCACATGGTCTAAGCAAGACCCATTCGAGAATACTAGTGAGGACTCATAGTCTCGTTATCGATGTATCTCCAACACAAACACTAGTTTATGTTGAAGCCAACTTTCATAGATAATACTTCGAGGGTGCTCCTCAAATAATTGTGGTCTTTGTCATATTTTACACTTAGTCGAGGTTTCGATTCCTCGACTGCAATTCCCAACGCAATGCGACACATGTCAAATGTACATAAAGTATGGTGGAGGCATGGGCCTACCACTCCTTAAAGTTGTTCGTAAAATTAGAGAATTTGACCTCTAAATCTCTAAGGGAATGTTTGATGGGAACCCCAATTCTATGGAAAATGAAATTCGTTTTCTAACTTCCACCTTTTGTCATGTTTGATAGGTTTTTTCCATGGAATTCTCTTTCTTGGTTGCCTCGAAAATCGGACTTTTCTTGGTTTTTCTTGAAAACCAATTTCCACCAATGTGGTGGGAATTTGTTTTCTAGGTACTGTATGTTTTTTTTTTTTTTTTTTTTTGACAATGGAAACAAATTTTAAGAATTATTGTAAAAAAATATTTTCCTTTAATTGACAATTTTCATGTAAAACAAAGTCAAACGAACACCAAAAAATAGATAATTTTCTTTAATTTTTTTTTTATTTTTTGCAATGGAAACAAATTTCATCCCTAATACTAGTAAAATATATCCCTTTAATTGACAAATTTCATATAAAACAAAATCAAACGAACCCCAAAAGACACTTTTATTTCAACATTTTTCACGTGAAAAATTATATCAATCAAACACAATAATTTACAATTCTCAGAAAAACAATTTCTAAATAATTCAATTCCCTGAAATTTATTTTTCATTCAATTCAATTCCATCTTTACAATCAAACGAACCTTAATAATAGTATTGAGGACATGATGTATAATTTCTGAAGATTGGTTCATACACCACTAGTGAATAAAGGTAATTTGCATAGTCTTCAATTCTCTCTACTTATATGGAAAAATACTGTTTACACTCAGTAAACGTTAAAAGAATTGGCCATTTTCATTACCCACAAGCTCACTTGTGTTGAGGTGTTATCTAAACTAAAATCAACGTTGACAAACTTCATATCTTTAGGGGTGTTTGAGAGTGATTTTTCACCTCAAAAAATTAATTTTTTTATTGTTATTTTATTATTTCAGTCGTAAAGTTCGACTTCTTCTTTTATAGGTGGCCCCCACTTTTCTACTAACGATCAACAAATCAATTTTCAAAATCACTCTCAAACGGGGCCTTAATTATGTTTGGTGGGGATTAAAATTAGATTTTTTAGTAGATTGTGATAAAAAAATTTGAAATGTATTGTTGAAAAGTTGTGAGATTCGTGAAAAATGTGATTGATATTGGTTGTTTAACTTTGAATTAGATTAAAATCAAATTTTAATTCAAACCAAACAAGCACTAAGAGTGACGAGAAAGTAGTTTTGCGCGTATGAAACAATATTCTCTCTCCGTCTTGTCCAGGTAATATAGAAAGGTCACTCAATCATATGGCGATGTAATCATTGGCCTTGGCCAACATCCAGACTCTTCCATCCTTTCTATTCACATCCTACATATCCATTACTCACTAAACATGAGTGTGGAGGAAATAGGTTACTTGACAATTTTAAATTGGATGATGGCGATGGACAACTAATCTATTTGGATCGAGTGGTGTCTGATGAGGGTCTCATTAATCTAAACCTATATTTTGATGGACCCTCATTCGATGAACAAGGAAGGTGAGGAAAGAGGTCAGTGCTTAATTTTGAAAAATACCTATAGTTTTCGAGTTGAAACAAATGGGACGAATAATCTTTTCACCTTTATTTAGACTGTAAGGAGAATCGATAGAGAATTCTTTCAAGCGTTCCATGACTTTTCAAAAAGAATATCCCCTCTTTATTAAACCTAGTGGAGTAAGAATTACTACTTTGAATTACAAAAACATATGAAAGATATTGATTTGCTTGGCTATTTCTTATGATTACAGGTATCTTCTACTGGTACATAATACTACTTTTCACAGGCTAAATATGCCTCAACTATGATAACTTGAGTAAATTTGACTTGTAATAAAATTACTTCTCCTTCTATTGAGACCATTATCAAGTTTACTCCCACTCCCACTGATTGTGTGCCTTTTGAAAATCCCGACCTTTATTGACAGGTATTGAAAATTTAGTCTATCTTGCGGTCACTTGTCCGAACATAACATATGCAATCCATGTGATTAGTCAGTCCATGTCAATTCCTCCAACTGCTCACTTTACTGTTGTTCTAACTACACACTACATTAAATGAACGCTATTTTATAAATTTCAGCTCTCTACTCAATCGTCTTAAGTTACAAGTTTACTTGATATTGATTTGGCTGGTCCCTGGTAGTTGATCCACCATTGGCTATTATTTCTTCTTAGGTGATTATCTTATTTCATGACAAAGCAATATGCAAATAGTCATAACTCATTCTATTATTGAAACGCAGTATTGACGTTTAGTATATACTACTTATGACCTTATTTGATTAAAGCTCTACCATGATATGGAAATTGTACACTCTTCTATTACACCTCTACTATGTGATAATTGAGGTGCTATTGAGATTGCTTACAGTGACGTGTTTCTAGAGCGACCAAAACATATTTAAAATTAATTATCATTTTATTAATTAACAGATTCTAAAATAATGATTGTCTAGTCTTCATGACCATGTTTATTCAGATTGATGAACTCTTTTACTTATCGAATCCTTAAGAATAATGCTCCTTGGATAGAGTTAATGACAGGGTAGTGTAGTATACAATAATGATTGGGTGTCATTTTTTTTTAACTGTCCAACCATGTATTGACATGTGTTTCATTTGTTATTGAGCCTATTATTGTAGCAAAATTGAATCCCTAAGCCATTTTTCTCTTGAAATTTTTGTTTGACAAAAAAAAAAAAAAAAAAAAAAAATAAAAAAAAAAAAAATTGGGAAAAAAAAAGAAATTGATTTGGCTTCACCTCTATCCCTTCTCTCTAATACAGAAGATTCTGGCAGTCTTCAATGGCGGATGGTACAACAAAAATACGAGCGGTGGCATCAAAGGGGAAATGGAGCAATTTATCAAAATACGCATGTCGCATATACTTTTTCCTCGTCATTCTTCAGGTCCCTCTTTTCAGGTCAAATCCCTTAGTTATCTAATTTATAGCTCCATATATCCAATAAACCCGGACACCTGTAAATTAATATTTCCAAGCCTGTAAATCTACATGGGGCTCTGTTGAACCTCGGATTTATGGTGTTCTAGCATCCGGCTGTCCTTGTTCGGCTGGAGTTTTCCTTTGGAGTTTGGAGAAAATATTGCTTAAATTATGTTTTTAGATCTGTGTTAATCGTCTTTGTTATTAGTAAATTCTGCATCTGATTGTTAAGTGTTTGATATAAGTTGATGCATCGTGAATTTTATACTCTGTTGATCAAGCTTTCCTCCTGGCATCGAAGTTGGGGTGGAAGTATACTATTTAAAATTTGTTTTCTTCTTCCAAGATAGAGATCTGAATTACGATTACTTTGTAATTTTTGAAATCTATTGACTTAAATAAATCACTATAAAGATGAGAAGCAGGAAATTTATTCTTATTATAAAATGCGCTTTCAAATTGATTTTTTAATCTTTTTTATCGCAACCATCGATTGTAGAAATAATTGCATTTGGGAAGTAAAAATATGATATACACTAATTACTATAACACAATCTTTTGAATACTATCAGTTGATTGTTGTAAACAGGAACATGCTTTAATCCAGGATTATTAGTTTTTTGAACCATGCTATTTGTACAAACTAGGTTGATAAACTTGGTTTACAAATTATGTGTTGGCAACATCTAGTCAATTATTTAAAAAACAGTTTTTGAAATCAATGGTCTAGTTCTTACCAACACTTAGTTTGTAAACTCATATTTTCTTGGACTCTCATATTTAATACGCATGAATTAAATGTGCTAGGAACGTTGATGGCTATCCCTGCTGATACAGAGTGCTTGATGTACTGAAGCTAGTTGCTGCTGCCACTTAGCTTTTCTCTCCTTGCAAAGTGGCTTATTCAACTGCTAAATTAATGACTTGCTTTCTTCACAACTATATGCCAAAAAAATGCATTTCCTTTTACATTCTTAATATTTTTAAAGGCATCATTTTGCTGGATGCATTGGTTAAGAGAAGTAATAGAGCTAGCGTTAATGGCAAAACTAGAGGAAGATCCAATTTTTAAATAATGAACCTTTGTAGTTTAACGTTTGGAGATTGCTTTTGATACTTGATAGAGTGGAGTGGAAAAGAGTTATGAGATTATGGCTTTTTTGAGTTGAGTTTTATCTCAAAAGGCACCATTGTCTGATGCAAACATGCAGTTTTATCTCCCTTTTTGGCATTTGTTTCTGTCGCCTGTAAGTGCTACAGTGATGGAACATTTTTGTGCATCATCTTGAGGCAAGAGGACATTTAGGAAATAAAACTTTATAATCCATGACATGTTCTGGCCTGTTATTTTATCACTGATTTTCTATGTTCAACTTATTTATTTTCTCAGGGTTCCCTGTAGATCTGGCATGTGCACAACTCCATTGCAGGTTACATCTTCCCAGTTGATTGCCAGCGAAATCATTCCTGTTCCCGTGGTGAAGGGCCTTCTCTATCCAGGAGCCGTTGTCAATGGTCTCATCAGTAATATGACTATTCCAAGTTGGGAAAATCTGCTGAGCGTCTATAATTTAACTGGCATAAAGGAAGCCTCTGCAGTAACTGACCTACAGAGATTGGAGGTTTGACTTCTCATCTGCACTCCTTCCTTCGTCCCAAAATGAAAATGAAATTGTGCTTATTTAAATTTACATCAACTATTTACTGTGAACTCATGTATGGCCAATACATTGCTTTGGCGATACATTAGTTGTAAAAAACATTTAAGCTGGCTATTTTAATTCTGTAGACCATAATTGTTTTCCAACAATAAATATACCTCTCCATTTCCATGTATAAATAAGTTATCTAAAACATTTAAGCCAGCCATTGTGTCTTTTAATTTTATAGACCATAGTTGTTGTCCAACAACAACCCATGAATACATGTTCCCTACCTTTCTTTTTTTCCATGGATAAATTAGCTAGCATAAACATTTAAGTTAGCTGTTGTATGACTGTTTCAGTTTGTAGATTATAGTTGTTTTTCACCAACTAATACATGTTGCATAGCTTACTATTTCCATGTTTTCAAGGCAGTTTTTTGAGTTCTAGAATAAATTTTTAGTTTTATTGGGTGATTTGGACTTAGTTTTGTCATAGAAAGTTACTACTGGAGAGAGAAATTCATAGAAGGCAGGTGGATTGGTTCTTTTAACATTTGGTGATAGTTTGCAATCTGTTTATTTACCTTTTTCACGAAAGGATAATACTTCTAACCCCCCCCCCCCCCCTTCCTTTTGCTTCTTTATCCTATCATTGTTAGAAAATATTGAGTTCTTTAAATATTGTGTTTACAAAAATATCAGTCGTCGTTATCAGGACTCTAAAGGTTTCAGAAGTACTGAACACATTTCATGTGATGGAGCAGCTATTCCTTGTTTGCTGTCATCTCAATTACTGTAAAGCACATTTCTGTTCCCAATTTAGCTGCAAGCTAAAAACATAAGTATGTCAAAAACTTTCATCAGGTTCTTGCTGGAAGTTACTTCTCGGTGGCTGGTGCACTAATTGGCCTCTTAAAACCTGGGAGGATGAGCATGTTTGGGACTCTTCTAGTCATATGGGGCCTTGTGAAGGAAGGGATTCTAAAAAAGCCAGCAAGCACAGATCCAACAAACGCAGTATTTGTCTACCCAACTATGTTAATAGCTCTGGTTTGTTCTCTCTTATCTGTCAAGTATGATGTGAAGAAGGCAGTGAGAAGTGCTGCTGCTCGCCCCGTTGCAAAGCCTATGCTCAGCTCTTCAAAATCTAAACTGAAGTGATAGTTGTAATTTAATTGTTCCCTGCTTATTACTCCTGGTATATCAGCTGCTGAGATTTACATTTTTAGAAACATCAATCACAATTGTATTCGAGTTGGCTTCTCAATTAGTCAAATGTATCAGAAAGGGAATTGTGAGCTAGATACAGTAGTGAAACTTCGTATGTAGCCTTTTTAGGTAGAAAAAGGTATCACATACAGTGGAATTTGCATTTGAATGTACTAATGAAGACAATGAGACATTGAAAAAAAGAAAGAATGAATGCTTGTTTTTTTCGTTTCCTTTCGCTTTCTATCAAATTTCTATTTTTTTTTCCTCGAAAATTGTCTTAGTCATCTTCATCTTCAAGGAAAACGAAGACACTCCTCGCTCAAAATGTTGAGTGGGTCCATCAGCCATGTCCGAATGTGATCCAGCAAACGAAGAAGATAAGAAATCAAAGCATCAAAATCTTGATCTTGGGTACTAATGGAATAGTACTGAAGGGGATTCCGAGGAACTGGACACCTACAAATGGGACAAGTAGAATGCCACTGCAGCCAAGCATCAATACAATCAACATGAAATCCATGCTTGCATGTTGGAAGGATCTTGTATTTTTCACCCAATGAGACTCGGTTCAGGCATATAACACAATCAAGTTCAAGGTCATCTTCTTCCTCGAGCTTTTCTGCCATTGCTTGATCCCGATACTTGAAAACTGTACCAGCTAGTGAACGTAATAATGCACTCATTTTCCCACGACACTTGATGCACACGAGAGAAGGCAATTAACAGATCGACGGCTATCCTATTCTTGTTGAAGTTCACTGCATTTGCAATGGTAGAATCTTAGTACTTGTTGCTTCAATATTACTTGTAAATATATAGCATGAAGATTTGAGTTATAAGCTTCAAAACATGGCCATAATGGATTCAAGTTGACCTGTCAAATTTGAAGAATGACCCTCTAATTGATCTTACGTGCATTCAGTCCGTGGAAGACACGTTTTTTGAGCATATGGATTTTTTTTTTGGGCTTTTTTCTGTTTGGTTTTGGAAATTGAAAAACAATATGCAGTAAACCTTTGACCAGTATAAAACAAAACAAAGAATACTACCTTAAATTATTCCTTAAAAAACATGGAAGACAGAGAATTGAAACAGAATTCAAACTGCTTGAATTGTAAGGTTTTCACCCCTTCCCCAACTGCTTAATCTTCAAACAATTTGAATTCTGTTTCAGTTTTCCCCTTCAAACGATCATAGAAATACAGTAGGTGGCAGTAAGGGAGAAATACTTGATCATAAAACGCGAAGTCCTAGTCAAATTCGATCATACAGCATAACAAGACTTCCATGGACATCTTTTGTTCCTAGTTTCGACCATGGTCATTGTCACTCTCTTTACCCCATGCTTGCGTGCAAAGATGAAGTTTCTTAGCGAAGCCATGAAATCCAAAAAACTTGCATTGCATGGGTGTAAGTATGCTAATTGTTTCCTCGACCGTGTTTAGTCTCAACATATCAGCTTCTTCCATAGAAGAAATCATGGCCTGATTGATCTTCTTTAATGCATCTCTTGTTCGTGTTTTGGACCTGATTTTCTCGCTATCAGTGCTAACGGCATGTACACCATGTCCTGCTGCAGTATAGCCATCTCAGTCGATACTTTTTCTTCCTCTCCAATGCTCCTCCTTTGTAGATTGTCAAGAAAGTTGAAATGCCGGAGAAGTCACTAGGCTTTGCATCTCCTGCTCCTGCAAATATAACCAAGTAATTGCCTATTAATTGCATCTCCATGTTTGAGCCCCATTATTTAGAAAAAAATGCATTTGCTACAGTATTTTGACATCATTTCAACTGCACATTCTTCAATAAAATAATATTACACGTAAATCCAAAACTATTCCTTCTTTTTTAACTATACATTTCCAGTCAATACACTATTCAAAAATTCATTTTTTCCTCCAAAATGGGGCTCAAACAATATATGTCAAAAGAGCATGTTTCCACTTGCAACTAGGAATTTTCTATCTAGTCGAGCATACAAACATACTAAGGTAACAAATTTAACAGAACCTTGAAGAAGCTCTTGGAGTCTGGAGTCGATTTCAAATCCACAGAGTGCATAAACGAGGCTGAAATATGAGCAACCCATGGTAGAGTCTCGAATGCGTTGCACCAAGTAAGGCAAAAAGAAGGTCGAGACATCTTTGTGAGCGAGACACCTTCGTTTCTCCACATAATCTTCAAAGTGTTGCATAATTTTGTCGATGAGTTGTTTCATATCTGCTTCATTTAGCTAGCCTTGTTCCCTTAATATTATCGCATGGTTGAGTTCAGATAGTTCTTGCTCTTGAAGGCGCATCCACTCTTGGTGTAGTGTAGGCATTCTTCAAGATTCTTGTCGTAACTTCCCATTGTCAGCTAGTGTACTGCTGTCAGGTCTATCTCCTAGAAACGGGTAAAAACAGTGTGACTCATACTAATATTTTAAGATTTGGAGCGTGGAAAAATATGGACCAAAAACAATGTGAGATGAAGACTAATTGTAGCATGAGATTGTTCATCATTTTTTGCGTTTTGCTCGTGAATATCACGTGGTTCTCTTTTGGTAGCAATTGAACCCCAAACAGGTTATAAGAATTACATTTGGGAAATTGAAACGACTTCTGGACTCATTGAAAGGACTTCTTCAATTGTTCCATAAAGAAACGTCAAGAAATGCAGCCTCTTGTGACCGGTAAATCCGACCAACTCACAAATTTTCATTCCGAAATAGCCAAAGTGGACCTGTTTTTCAAATGTTGATCTTAGTACATGGTTAACAAATTAAAGACAATTTAGTATCAGTAAAAGTGAAAACAGGCTACACAAATGTTTATGGTTTATGCCAGCCAGAACAACAGTGGAAAAAAACCAAGATGTTTGGTATTTGAACTAATTTTGATTGAATTGAAGGATATAAAAATCTGGTTATTTCTGGAGTGAAAACTCAGCAGCTCAGAGCCAAGTTCTCTTCAGAGTGAATCTTGCCATTGATGTAGGCTTGTGTTCGACTGCATGAACTATTTGTTTTCTTTTCTCTTCTTTTTGTTTCTGTTATGGGTTTATTTTTCTTCCAGGATCTTATTATTCACGGTAAATAACACTGATAACTTTTCTCATGGAACCTAAATAGTTGTTCTTCAATCTTTTGTGTTACAACACTGTAGATATATCAAATAATCTTGAAAATGTCCCTAGTCTTGAGAAGACTTCCAAACCCTTGATGGAATTTCAGATATCAGTTACATCTGCATATACAAACTGTAAAACAAGAAACAAAAACGAAGTCGATGCAAATGGTTACAACTGCAAAATTGTATATTTGCCATTCGCCAACTACACAGTAGCAAAACAGATTGTACGTTCGGCTTTTCCTTTCCAGCATCATAAGTAACATTATCTACATTTAATCAAAAATTCGAACAAGCATGGGTCCCCTTCCTCTGCATGTTATGCAACTGTCCTTTGACGTTCGACTCCTTCGATAAAGCCTTGTTACCAATAAGGTATGCCTGCCTGGCCTAATCCCTCAAAGAGTTATTCAGAGGATTTAGATCAAACAATCAGAATGTTGCAGTTCATGAAAATGTACATACTAAAATGTAATTTCTGCAAGCCAATTTACTCATGTGTACATGGATGTCATCAAGCTCGTGTGTGTTTGTTTGAGAGAGAGAGAAAGAGAACAAACAACTAGATTCAATCCATCCACTCTCCACATAATATATATCCCATAGAATGGATGTAGTATTGACAAGCCCAGCTCACTACAATGTCATTTAAGACAAAAGAATATTCCACTTTGCATTTACTGCAGGGTCGTGGAAACAGTTCTTTACTGGAGCCAGAAGGAAGTCTATGACCTTGCAACTCCTTTTCCCAGTTTGAGTTTTTTCATGTAGTAAAATCCTAAAGATATCGTTAGACTTGAAATTTATTGTTCATTTCTTCCACTTTTTCCTTTTAATAAATACTTATAGGGCGTACCTGTTCTAAGTATGAGTTATGCAAGCATGCGCGATCAAGGGCTTCCTCCTGCATTTCAGAATACGTATTTGCTGCAATCTCAACAAAGTTAAAAGCATGTACACTTGCAGAAAGCATTTGCCCCTCAATCAAAGTTTTACAGAGCAAGTTAAATTTATTGCCTTGAAAATATTACCGACTGCCTCTCCAGTTTCAAGCCAGACAGGAGTTGTGCGAGCAGATCCCCTATTTTGCAAGTTATCAACATAAGCCCCTTGCCCTGGCCACTATTGTAAGAACCTGCTGGGACTTGTGAAATTCTACCCGATCCAATGCTTGAGCCTGAAGAGCCATTCAGATCATACTTCAAGATGAGAGAATCTTTGTCGTTTTCCTGACTGCTGAAGCAAAATCTGCATCGCCTCCAGAGGGAATGGAAGCACTGGACCCGAACAAGCGTGTCCTTTCTTTTTCTGAAATCCAGTAGGGATTAATGTTTCGCTGTAGGTTATCACGAGAAAATTTTGGAAGGCTATTTTGACTGTCTGTCAAAGAAATTGCAGGCAAATCAAATTCAATTAAGACTTGGCACTGACAAGGCCTTCGAAATCTGATTCCGCATCAAGCCTCCATCGACCTGAAGCTGCATTCTGTTGACACATAAAAATTCAGCCCAAATCAAACAGTTCAAGGAGTGAATCCCAATTGAAGGATCCCCAAATCAGATAGCCCAAAAAACGAAACTCAATCAAACAAATCAAGATGAAGGCCCAAAAAGGGAGGCCCAAGAACGCAGTAACGCCATCGCCCAAGTTTGAAAGTCGCCTAGAATCTGAGCGAACGGAGTGCCATGCAGTCGCCCAAAGCTGTTACTCTATTATCGCCCAAACCTTCAAGTCGCCCAAGGTCTTAACAAACATAAAGCATTGTGGTTATCAAGATGCGCCGTTATCAAAGCAGTTATCAAAGCGGCCCTATCACGTTCCACGATTCAAGGAACTCAATCGAAAGCGGTTGAACGATGAAGAGTAATGGCAGCAGTTAAAAAAGACAGTTTTTATGACAAGTTGGCCATTATGAGGAAAGTGGGCAGTTATAGGACGATCAAACGATTTTTAGACAGTTGATCACAAAGAGATCGTCTGTGGAGTATAAAAGGGAGAAAAAACATAGAGCAAAAGACCGAATCAAAAACTCTCGAACAGAGAATATGTAATTTTCATTTCCTTAGCTTAAACTTAAACACTTTTCTTTCAAGTAACTCGTGTGCTTGCGCCCCTTGGAGGCACGTTGTTTTTCATTTCCAATTGTAAAGTCATCGCCAATAAAAGAACACCCTTTTTTGGGACTTTGTCTCAAGAGGTTTGTCCCTTACACAATCGTCTGATCCTTTTTAATTGTTAGCGACTAACCCGCGCGAAACAATTTGACACGCCCAGTGGGACAGTGGTGTTAGGTGTTGAAAGTACAAAAGGTGAAACAATATGCCTCAGAGATCCGATAAGGAAGTAGCAAGTCAGGGAGGAATCCAGTCTGTGATCGAGCGATATGAGGAGCAGCATGCCTCTCCACAAACAGATGGACAGAATGAGAGCAGTAACAGTCGTTACGAACCAATGACGGAGTTGAGTCCTCGAACCATGCGTGCATTATTTGGAGAACTCACGCAAGACGTCATTGAACAGGTAAATTTTCGAAGTATTCATAATATGGAAAGATTTACGCAAAATGGGAATGTACACTATGACAAAATGACCAAACAACTAAAGACGTTGAACGAAACAATGAATAAGTTAGTAGGCCAAATATGTCAACCGGCAATACCTCTTACAAATCACTTTCAAATTAGGACAATTGTGGGACATAATCCCTCGGTCCTAAATCCGAATCAAGGGGTAGAACCACTTTATGGTCCCTCTACTTCAAACCAAGGGGGTACTGTAGTGTCAAATCAAAACAATGGTAGTGGCACGCCTAACTTGGGGGGTAATCCAAACATAAGAGATAATGTCCTAAACAATGGACAGCACACCCCACGTGTTAATGAGGGAATAGATGTTCGGGCTAATGATAATGGCCCTAATTATGGTAATTTTGTTGCCAATCAAGGACCAAACATTAGGCCTCATGCAAATCAACTGGTTAATCAGCCTGTAGGAATTCCATATGATCCCAACGTCATGTTGAGAAACCAGATTATGGAAATCGTACAGGATTAGATGGCTTTTGGAGTGCGTCCAGTCATTAGGCCGACATACACAAAGCCATATCCTGATTGGGTAGACCAAGCATATCTATGGCCTAGAGGGTACAAAGTACCAGAATTCTCACTGTTTACCGGTTTAGGAGAGGTGTCTACTCTAGAACACATAGGGCGATTCACATTGCAAAGTGGTGATATAACCGATTACCATAAAATGAGGTTTTTCCCTAGTTCGTTAACAGGAGTAGCTTTCTCCTGGTTCATCAACTTGCCAGCGAACTCTGTTCAAACATGGCAACAATTGGAACAATTGTTTTACGCTCAGTTTTATAAAACTGAGTCTGAAGTCACTTTGGCTGATTTGGCGAATCTACGTCAAATGTCAAACGAATGGGCAGAAAGTTTTCTCCAAAAGTTCAAGACAGCAAGAAGCAAGTGTTTTGTACCTCTGCCCGAAAAAGAATTTATCAAAATCGCTCAGGGCTGCTTGAGCTTTGATTTAAAGAAGAAATTTCCTGACCTTTTCCAGTTGAGTGCGAATGTGATTAGGTATGAGCGACTTATAAGAGAGGAAGAACAAGTGAAAAATTCTAGTAAAGGGACTTATTACAAAGACCCAAATTTTGACATTCAAACCATCGACGACGAGTCATACGATCAGGCCGAATTGGTCAAAAGAGATACATATACTTGTCCCATAATGGCCAAGTCTAGATCATCGGGCAAAGATGAGTCCCTAAAAGATGGAAACATAAAGGTTAAAACGTTCTCGTTCGACGTGACCAAAGCTGGCCTTATATTTGATAAATTATATAGGGATAAGCAGATAAAGTTGAGCGATAAACACAAATTGCCAAACCCTGAACAAATTAAGGGTAAAAAATATTGTAAGTGGCATAATGCATGATCACATTTGACTAACAATTGCTTGGTTTTCCGTCATGTATTGCAGGATGCCATTGATTCAGGACAAATTACGTTCGATGATAAGAAGAAGATGGCAGTGGATGAAAATCCTTTCCCACAGCCACTTGGAGTAAACATGGTGACATCTGGATTCAAAAACAAGTTGCCAAAATTCAAGTTGGTCGTAGATGATGGAGAAGAGGATCCTAGACCACATCCCAGTGTCTTTGAACGAATCAAGGGGAAAGAACCAAAAAAGGACGAAGACGTCCTGTGTGCAAGGTGTAAAAGAGAAGTGAATGGAAATATAGAGAAACCAGGGACATGGCAGCATCCTCATCGCCCTACCTTCTTCCCAAACACTCAGCCTGGTAGAGGGCGAGGTACATCATTTTATAGAGGACCGCCTTTTGAAAGGCAGTTCAGGCCAGCAGATACTGGAAGAACATTTAGGCCGCAACCTCGCTGGGCAAATGTATGGCATTCATTCCAGTACAATGCAGGAAGGGCAATACCCTTCAATGAGATGACTAGGACTCAACAAAGGCGTTTCCAACGAAACTACGGACGGATGATGAGGCAGCAACAGGGAATGCCACATCCTAAAGTGCCTAAACTACTCAAGGTAGCCAATCAAAATGTCCTCAAAAATAGCGAAGAGACCGGTACAGATGAATCAATGAAGGAACTGCCAGAAACTTCTTCTGGGAGATCAAGGTTTGAGCGAGACAAAAGAGATGAAGAAGATCCAGATCAGCCCCTTACTATCTAATTCGGTACGTTGCCTCCTGTCGTGGCCAATAATTACCTACTGGCCAATGAATTCAAGAATAAAGAAAAAGAAGAAGAGAGGGAAGACAACGAAGGAGAAGCTTGCGTGCTGGTGTGTGAAGAAGGCCAGACTTCTAGAAAGGCCTACAACGATGAAGAGGACGACGGGATGACAGACATTGAAGAAGAAATCGACCTAGAAGCAGAAAGAAGAAAGAGAGGAGTATCGCGCAATACTCTATTGAAGCAACTACATCGAGAGGGAGTTCGCGAAGTAGACTTGTTGGGGAAACCATCTGGGCGTCCTTTCGACTTCTACGTACTGTACAGGACACCCAAAAGGAAGAAGAGAGTGCCTCGCTCTGAAAAGTATGGGTCACCTCCAAGAATAATGTCCCCTCCCACAGGTTGGGTAACTGATGAGGAAGCATTAAAAAGAAGTAGGAAGGAAGTTCAGGAGACAGAGGATCAGCGTGATATACTGCACGTCGACTTGTCACAGGGGGATAATTCAACAGAAAACAAGCAGGAAGTAGAAATAAAGGCTGCCGAAAAGGTTATTTTTAAACGGCCAGCCATGAAATTGACAAAACACTTGAGGCCATTATACGTTAAAGCTCTAGTTAACGGCGTCCCAGTGGCAAAAGTGCTTGTCGACAATGGAGCAGCTATAAACACTATTCCATCTAGGATGATGAGGAAGTTCGCAAAGACAGAGGGTGACATGATTCCTATAGAAGTCATCCTCACTAGCTTCAATGGAGGAGCAACTTCAGCTAAGGGAGTTATGCCGTTGGACATAACTATAGGGACAACTATTAGGACCACTGTTTTCTTTGTAATAGACGGTCCTACTAGTTACAACGTGCTACTAGGAAGAGATTGGATACACAGAAGTTGCTGTATACCCTCATCGCTCCATCAATGCCTGATCTTTTGGAATGACAAAGGCGAAGCTGAGGTGGTACAGGCCGATCATAGGCCTTTTGTCACAGAAGCAAACTCGGTGGAAAAGTTCGTGTACGAAGGAAACTATGGACCTGTCAGGGTAGTACAAGACGGGGAAGAAACTCAGGTTGTCGCGCAAAGCGAAGAACCATTCTCAGTGGACGCACTCACTGAAATGTTCAAACAGATGAGGCCAAATATAGTGGCCCTGGAAGAGCCAATAATTGGCAAAAGAATAATTAAGGTGTCTTGAATGGACTTTAAGTTACAAAAGCAAATGGCCGACATTCAGGCCTTCAAAACCAGACTGATGGCTTTCAATAAGGAATGCAATGACAAAGCGAAAGAAGAGACAGCCCTAAAAGCGCTGAAGGATAAGTTGGCAGTATTCGAGTTAAAGAAAAGCATTGGCCGAGAAGTCAATAAGGTGGACTGTTTAGAAGAGGAAGTACTTACAAGGGAACTGGACGACGAAGTAATGCGGATCACCAAACCTGGATACGCTCAAGCACAAGACCCTCTGATCAAAGTAAATATTGGCAATGAATGAGAAGATCGCCCAATGTTCATCAGTCAAATGCTCGACCAAGAGGTTAGTAACAAGTTAATCGCTTTGCTAAAAGAGTACAAAGATTGTTTTGCTTGGGAATATGAACAAATGCCTGGTTTAGATAGAGACTTGGTGGAACATAGGTTACCAACTCAGCCTAACTTTAAATCTCATAGGCAACCTCCTAGACGTTTTGCTCCCAATGTACTCCCTGAAATCAAGAAAGAGATAGAGCGATTATTGAAAGCAGGTTTTATTAGA